AACTGCACATATGACATGTGGATCGCAAAGTCACGATGATTACGTTACGAGTCTTTTTTTTGCTTCTTGATTGACTTGATGAAAAATTGAAAACAAAAGGCAGCAGAATAGTATAGCAAGTTTCTGAAGTCAGAAATTTCAAATAGAGTAGTAATAATAAGGTAAAGGAATACAAATACACAAAGCAGGGCAGCAGGCCATAGGGATAGGGGTTACAAAGTGTGATCCGGCTAACACAATGTACAGCTACGACAGCTTTATTGAGCGCATGGTTAGGATCCCCAACAAACCAGAGCAAGCAAGTCAAGTACCATGGTCAGTACCAACTACAGTAATAAGTAAAGTGATTAAACTAGACCGTGATTTTGGCAGGGACAACCTTTCTGATTTTTTTTTTAAGGCAACAACAAAGATAGGTCACCATCACTCTGCATTGATGCCGTTTAAGGACACTGTTGTACTGGACACTGTGACTAGACGTGGAGGCACGCGTGCCACGGAAACGTTCTCCGTGGTCCTGCTGTTGGGGACATGGGAACATGTGTATCGCAGAGAGCCAGAGAAGAGAGAACCTGGATTGCAGGATAGTCTGATAAGGAGACATGATCTAGGAAATCTGCTGCGCAACCGTTGGTTTGTTCGGGTGTGTGATTGATGTTCAGTCGTTAAACCTACCGCGAGTAAGTAAGACTCTTTTCTTACTCTTTTATAGAAAGAATACAATTCTAACACGAACATACAAATTATCTTAAAATTAATTAGACTTTAAAAAATTGATGTTGATTAACAGAGGTTTATATTATTTTCTATAAGTTTAGTCAAAGTTAAGATAATCTCGACTTAGACAAAATCTAAAATTGCATTTATAGGAAGTGTGAAGAGGTAAGTGGATGTTTGAATCCACCTAGCTAATGGCCGCATCTAGCAAACATCTCACTAGATGCCTCTAACTCAGCCAAACTAATAGCCCCATGGAACAAACATCTCACTAGATGCCCCTAACCTAGCTAATGGCCGCATCTAGCAAACATCTCACTAGATGCCTCTAACTCAGCCAAAATAATAGCCCCATGGAACAAACATCTCGCTAGATGCCCCTAACCTAGCTAATAGCAACTACTAGGTTGCAAAAGTACACTTTTACCCTTCTACATACATCTAGCTACCATGCTCTAAAAGGTGAAGAGCATTATAGATAAAACCATCAATACATCCACCTTTTAGCTCTAGCTTGGATTCGAGCAATACCTGTCTAATAATTACAAGACATTTTGGCTTTTATAGATTCATAGCTTTTGCTATGCATTTAGATATATACTGATGTTTATGTTGAAATTTGGCTTATGCTGAAACGTCGTGAGAGGAAAACATTGTTCGTTCACTGAAAAGTACTGCTGAAGTAGTGCAGCAGAACAGGGCGTAGCAAATAGTATTTAGCTAGTTAGTATTAACTACTATGAACTATTAGCTGCTAGTGGATCCAAGGGGCAAATGAGAGATTTTGATATTGGGGTTTCAATCTGAATGCCTCACACAATTCGACACACGATTCCTATGCCTTCTAAAATTTCATTGTACGTGGAAGGGAGGAAAAAAAAAAAAAGGGGGGGGGGGGGGAATTAAGAAAACATGAAGAAAAGAGAAACACTTGAAATGAAGAATTCACAGGCCATTGCATCAAAATTTGAAAGTCATACGAATTGAGGACAAATTGTGTGAGGCATGCAGATTGAATCCCAAATATTGAAATCTCTAAGATCCAAATAGGGCCTAAGCTAAGCTGCTGCTGCTACACCCAAGTAGCCCTGTTTGGATATTTTGGTTGTTGCATTTTAATTTTAGCAACTGCTGGCTATCCTTTCTCTTGCTAATAGGTACTATTGGAACCATAGGTTAAAAGATGGGGCTATTAGCATTTCATGTTTGGATCAATCCTAGCTAATTTAACATACTAGCTATTACCAGGCAGCACCAAGACAGACCTTGGCCTAGACAGACAGCTGACCTGCTGGCTACAAAACAGAAAGGCAGTAGTACCTTCAGTACGTCACTCAACAACCCGTGACTTTGGAAGTAGAGTACAACTTCTGTTGACGAACGAGGTTAAGAGGATGCAAAAGCAAGGGGTAACTTCTGAAGAAAGAATTTCTTAATTTTGGACCTTCTCCAACTGTACTGCACCTGTGCAGCTTCCTGAACTTTTGACATTTTTTGCGTTCCAACCAACTGATCCGAAGTCAACACGGCTGACTAATGAGCGATATCAAGATTTAAAAGTTTTGTTCATTTGAATCTGAGTTGCACACTTGCACATATAAGATCCATAAGAAGAGGAGCAGGCCTTTCAACTAATCTCACCTAATCTAGTGGACTAGTGCAGTAGTGCCAGATTTTGATTTGACATATAGCAACTACTAGAGGTCGACAATGCAACCACCACAAGGTCTCCTTGCGCACGCTGGAACTGTCATGGCGTCAACATATCGTGCAACCACTCACATGGGTTTATAACACCCAAAGTGATTAGAAAACAGAAGCTCATACGTGCCACCTTCGCTGAATATTGCGTGATGTCGTTAGCACATCAGTTTCAGCTCACTTATCCTTCGAAGTATACAAATTCCAGGCTGAAAACGAGGATGCTATGTTGATTGGTGGTAGCACTTCGGGAAGTCGATGCTGATTCAGTTCTCACCTACTCACTATTTTGTCCAATGCCCAGTCAGCCAAAATATCGTTGTCACATGCTGTGTTAACCAACACTTCAACAGTGCCCTGGATAACCTTTTGTATTCAAGAGGCTGGCTGTCTGTATATTCGAGAAAAAGAGAGGCTATCTGTATGGATCTTTATTCCAAAATTTAGAGAAAAAAAAAAGTCAGACTCAAATTATTCTCAAAATCACTATATATATCTTTATCGCTCTCCAGAACCACCATTCTCGTTTTTATTAATGGGAAGGCTATATCACTCTCTAAATTCAATATATGGTAGGAGTAGTTCTTTCATGATTTTTTTCACACAAGCAAAATGATGATAAGACATTGGAGCCCCAGAGAACAAAACTAGAGAGTCCATTGGAGGCACGAGAGAAATACAAAGAAAATATTTATGGAATGGCTCTCCAAGTAGAGACATAGAGTTGAAGTTTGGAAAGGCTCTTGGAATTGCTCTTAACATGCTCGTATTAAATTCTGTAAAATCTTTGTGGCTAAGCCAATCTTGAGCTCACTGCTGCTGCAGTTTCAGCTTGCCAAGATCCATGGTTAATTTGCAATTTATCTATTGTAACAAAGTGGCTTTTCTTGTTTTTTAACAGTATATAATAATGTTTCACATGTTAGCAACATATTTTGAATAAAACTTTAGTAGATATTTGAACAAATTTGGGGTATTCCTCACAAAAAACATCAATACAAGCTGAAGAAATTTGTGGCTAACATATGGCAATATCTGATTTCAACAGAAACACATGGCAACGTTAGAAGCCCAAGCAGCGGAGCGGGTGATTGAAGCCTGCGTGAGGACGGAGTCCATCAGGAAATGTGTCTTCACCTCTTCCTTGCTGGCATGTGTGTGGAGGCAGAACTACCCTCATGACCGGCGGTGCCCTACCATCATCGATGAGAGCTGCTGGAGCGACGAGAGCTTTTGCCGCGATAATAAAGTGAGTGATTGGGAGAAAACATAAATGCATTTGTATTTATGTTTCCTTTAATTGATCACACAAACTAGTGCGATCAGGGAGAAGCCACATAACCATCTTCGAGGAAATCCATCTAAAGTTTGCACCAACAAGTATGTGGGTTCAGCTCTTGTCAGTTTCCAGGGTTCAGTGGTACTGAACTGCTGAAGAGCACCCCCAAGTCACAATAGTGGAAAACTGCTCTTTTCTGTTGAAAAACTGCACAGCCTGTGGCCTACTGGCCTGTTCCCAATGGGTCGACTCCGGCCCATTTCCATCCCTAGCACAGGTCTACTATTGTGGGGATGTCTAATCTAATAGTACCAGTAATGTGATGCAACGTTTTTCAGCTGTGGTTTGCACTTGGCAAAACGGCAGCAGAGAAGGCTGCCTGGAGGGCAGCGCGGGGACGAGACCTGAAGCTGGTCACCATCTGCCCCGCGCTCGTCACCGGCCCGGGATTCCGCCGCCGCAACTCCACCGCGTCCATCGCGTATCTCAAAGGTCGGTGCTGCCCGGATGCGTACCGTGAGACGCACCAACTCGTACGTGCGCCAGCACGCGTTGTTCATCACTCTGACCTGACTCCTTTTGCGTATTCTGCCGCAGGGGCTCGTGCCATGCTCGCCGACGGCCTGCTCGCCACGGCGAACGTGGAGACGGTGGCCGAGGCGCACGTCCACGCGTACGAGGCGATGGGCGACAACACCGCCGGCGGGAGGTACATCTGCTACGACCACGTGGTCAAGCGGCCGGAGGAATTCGCCGAGCTGGAGCGACAGCTGGGGCTGCCGGGCGGGGCCGCGGCCGCGCAGGGCTCCGACGACGACCGGCCGGCCAGGTTCGAGCTCTGCAAGCGGAAGCTGTCCAGGCTCATGTCCTCCAGGAGGAGGTGCACGTACGACACCTACTACTCCGTCGCGTTTGACTAGCTAGCTCCCAGATGCATTGCCATGAAGGGGGAAACCGATGGCACTGAGGAAGTGACGAGCCATCATCGCAGCAAGGGTTGACTACACCAGTCTGCAACTGCAACCGGTGGCCCATTGACAAGTGGGCACCGGAAGCGAATCAATAGCAAAGCTACGCATCACAATCGCTGGCCCATCTTGTGGACGAGAAGGAGCAGGGTGTGTGTGCAATGATGTACCGGCTACCGGGTGCAATTTTGTACAGAGTTTTGATGAAACAATAAAGGTGAGTCAACCACAGGCAGCGCGCATCACAACGATCCACGCCATCACAAAAAAGTTTGTGCAGGCAATTGCCAAAGGAACAAGTTTGCACTTTGTACAATACGACATTAGACGCGGCTCTAGGGTGAACCAGTGCCCGCCTTACTCAAGGACTCAGGTGCAGTAGTGTCGCCGTCCTTCTCGGAGTCGCCTCCGCCTCCGATCGCCGCCGAGAAAGACAGCCGGCCGAACCCCCAGAGCCCGACCTGGTACATGTCCACCCACACCTTCTCGGACACGTCCATCCTGGAGCTCACCTTCGTCCTGCTGCCGCCGTCGTCGGCGCAGTCCACGGCCGCACGAGGCAGGTCGTCGCCCCACAGCTCCTTGCTTCGCCACGGGCCCTGCTGCTGCTCGTGCTCGTCGTTCAGGTCGCGGACGCGCCTCGTCCTCGCCTTCCGGAGCCGCCTCCTGGCGATCCTGGCCACGCACCGGCGGCCCGCCACGTAGGGCGCCTTGACGAGCGCCAGCGTGAGGCAGCTCACCACGGCGCACGGGCAGCAGCACAGCGCCACGCAGCTCGCCACCGCCGACGCGCTGCACGTCCCGCACGTCTGCCTCGTGCACTGCGTGGCCACCTGCTCGTCTTCCTCCTCCTCCGGCAGAGCGGGGATCCGGTACGGGCGCGCCAGCGCCGCCATGATTGCCCACGGCCCGTCCGCCCCCCAAATGCACTAGCGCAACGACTCCGGGCGTACGCCGCTGCCGCCAAACCTCTGTTGTCTGTTCATAATCATCAAGAATCCAGGAATTCAGCCATCATTAGCGACCAAATGGTCTTGTGGATATACTAATACCGGAGGATAAGTTTGAGTAAACAGAGAAGTTAAGGCACGCACGCAAAAGCTTGGCTGCTGTCTGCTGATGTATCAGCTCTAGCGACAGTTAAGGTGCGCACGTCAGGATCAGGACAGACAGGATTTATGGCAGCCCAACCACAATGCACACGGTGATCAGACGGCTGCGTGCGAACCCAATCGTCACCTGAGGACGAGCAAACGGATGCCTGACCTTACGACTGTTTTCTTCCGTACGAAATATATGGAAGCGGTTCAGTTCTGGAAAAAGAATTAGTTAGCGTTCAATATAGTCCACTACTCCACCTTCTCTTCCCATATGTAACGGTACGGCAACCGGACAAGTGCAATGGAAACGGTCTTCGAATCTCATTACCAAACTTTGATCCAGTAAATTAAATTTAAAACGTCAGACACGGTGTTGCATTTTGTGATGGCAACCCCCTCACCTGCTACGAGACTACGACGGTTGGATCGGTTCCACTCTATAAACATCTCAAAAAAACATTTTTTTTCTTTTTGAAAGGAATGACGAGCATTCGTTTTTATTGGTTTTCTTATTTTTGCCTACTATACACTGGTAACTAGTTTCCTGGACTGATCGATCCGGAACAACACCGCGGCTTTTCGAATTCGAGGCGACGCGGGTGAATTGAGAACCTTTCTACAGTTTCTAGCATGCAATCTTCCATGAAAACTCAACGCCATGAATGATATAACATCAATAACAGAACACGCATGGACAACGATGCATAGAGAAGGACAGCGCGCGTACGTACCCGGGGCAAGAAAGCCGTGGATCAAAAACTTCCTCGCTTCGCCGGACGCGACTGTCAGGATCACGCCGAGCGCACGGCGGACGGCGTAGAGGACGATGCCGATCCAGAAACCAGGGAGGGAGCCACCGTGTGACGCCGCCGCCGGACAGTCGGCTCAGCAAGATTGGCCAAATGGGATGCAAGCAATAGAAATGTCGAATAGTGGGGGCTGCGTGGACGAGAAGACCGAGTGGAAACTGGAGAGATAAACAAGAGTTTTTTTTTTGAATGATCTTGGGAACGGCCCTCTCGCTAACAGTTCCTCATGTTTATAGAGAGAGTGGACTGTTTCGTGTCAATTGAACAACTCTTCCGCTTCTCTCTCTTTTTTCTCCCCCGGTTTGAGGAACTGAACAACAAATCTCTTTTGAGAGAGAGCGCTGGACAATACTGTTGCGACGGCATAGCCGGGCCAGGCCGGGCCGTGTAAGAATGCAACTGGCGGTCCTACAAACAACAAAGCCTCAATCAAGCTCGTACTAAATTCCGCAGGCCCAGCTAGCGAGCCCATATTCTCTTGCCAGTGCGGCGCTGCAATAGAGCTCGCCTGGAAAGCAGCAACGCAAATTGGATCTCGAGTCGAGAAAAAGGCTCACCTCCAACCGTCGCCGCGCACTCCCGCGGCGGCCGATGCGGCCGGCACAGCGCCACGGCAATCCTCCTCACGGACGCGGCAGCCTCATCTGGATTCGGCGCCTCCAACTCATCGCCAACCCGCAACGTCCCCTCGCATCGCTGCAACGCACGGGCACACAACGAGGTCGGCGCCACCGTTAGTGGAGGCCGGCACGGGAAGAGGAAGGGTGGGGCGCCGGTGTCGTGGCCTCGTGGGAGACGAAGCGGAGGATAGCAGCAGGCGCGGGGAGATGGAGGGCGGCAGCAGATGTGTGAGAGAGGGAGAGACGGAGAGTAGGGAGGCGGCGGCGGTGGCGGCGCACGGGCCATCTGCGCGTCCGCCCGCTCTTTCTGCCGTCTCCAACCGCAAACTGGTACTGGGCAATCCCCGGGTCCACATGTCGGCACGCACGTATGCGAACCGCCGGGAGGAGCGGCCGCGCGGGGAGGTTTTGCTCTAGCGGCGCGGAATTTCTTTTTTGTTTTTCTTTTTGACATTTTTTTTATGATTTGAAAGTTGTATTATGAAACAAATTTCCCAGAAAAATTATTTCAAAAACGTGCCCCAGGAAAAAAAAATACTCGCAACTCGGCTAGACTTTTCAAACAACTGCGATGGAATATTTTCACTTCCACACGTACTATTTGGCTAGTGGCCAATGATAACAACTGTTCAAGATCACAGACTGGTATACGCAACTGGATTACTTTCTCCATATGTAAATAAATCAACTTCTTGTTTTAAGTTAAACCCAAAACTTTGGCTGAATTTATAGAAAAAACATTAGTATTTATGACATCAAATAAGTATATTAAAAAAATATATTCTACTATGTATATAATGATATATTCTCCTTTATAATTTGATCAAATTAAAAAGTACTTCTTATAACTTACTCTCTCATGTCTTCGTCCATATAAGAATGCAATTCTCATATTTCGAGAAGTCAAACAGTTTAAACTTTGACTAAAGTTATATGAAAAATACTAACACTCATGAAACAAAAATAAGTACCATTAGATATGTTATAGAATACATTTTCACAATAAATTTATTTGAAGATATAAATGCTAATACTATTTACTATAAACTTGATCAAACTTAAACTAGTTTGACCAGTATGATTCCTATAATTACATTCTTTCGTGGATGAAGGGAGTATAAGATAACTCTAGAAACTGTCCGGGACGAAGGGAGTACCTGACAAAGGGAGTATCACCGTGGCGACTAAATTCTGGATCTGCAGTAGTACTATTCAACATTTTTTTGAAAGGACGGAGAGCTTATATTAAGATGAGGGACTTGTTAAATTCACCGTGACTAAATTTTAGCTTTCTGTTAGGCGACGGTTATTGCATATATTTTATAATAAAATTATAGCTTTTTCATTGCAATTTATGTTAGGTATAATCCGTGATTTTTGGTTTCAAGAATAAAAAACCCCGTTAGATAAAATCACAAACCTGACAAAATCCGATCTGTATTGGCACAAACACAATTAACAATTTAAGGTTATTTATATAGTTAGACAAGGACAAAAGTTTAATATATTTTGAAACAAAAGACTAATAACAAATAATAAAAGTAATAATTATTTATACTAGTTGTTCGTAGAAGAGTGTCGTCTAAATTAACCTTAAAATTCAGACAATCGAAATATATAGAAGAAGTGTTAAGATGACAGCTAATCATGGCCTAAAGTTGTAGACGCGCAGGCCGGGGCACCTTTCAAAAGAAAGGCAACTCTTCCAATCAAACGTGCTTTCACCGATGACCCAATCAGACATTGACGGACCTCCTGCGAGCCATCAGCTCGTCCACTAACCGTCCGGCCACCGCGCGCCTGGCCTTCTCCAAGTAGTCTGGCTCCAGGTCGTGGAAGCTGTTGAACACCTCGCCGTAGCTCCTCTGGTCCGCGGCGTTCATGCGCTGCAACAAGGGCCAGTCCTCCGGCCGCTTCTTGGGATTTATCATTTGGCTGCGCCTCAGCTCGACGCGGTGCGGCAGCCCCGGAAGCAGCACGAGCGCGTCGGGGGTGGCCTCCACGGGGTTGTAGCGCAGCATACAGTCGATGCAGGTCCGCGAGAACAAACTGCCGCCGAGGAACTCCATCCGCGGGACGCCGTGCTCCGCGGCGGCGTCGGTGGCCCAGTCGAAGAAACTGTCGGCCACGACGGCGTCGGGGCGATCCTCCGCCAAGAACCGGTTGAACGGCTCGCGGAGTAACCGGACCGGTCTCGACGCCGGGGGCAGCCCGACGTCGGGGAATGGCACGACGGCGATGTCGATGGCCAGGGCGCCCTCGGTGCAGCGGGAAGCGTCGTTGGCGCGGTCTACCGCCGAGCGGATGACTTGAGCGTTCACCGGGGTGGTGAGGATGGTGCACTTGACGCCTCGGGCGGCGAAGAGCGCGGCCATGTCGGCGATCGGGATTAGGTGCCCCGGCGCGAGGAACGGGAAGAAGAGGATGTGCAGCGGCTTCTGCTCATCTTTGATGGCCATGGCTGGCTGCGTGCCGGCACCTGCGCAGCTGCGCTCTTGGGAGTAGATCTAGATCAGGAGGAAGGGCGGGCGTAGCTAGAAAGCGGAGTAGCAAGAAATCTGGAAACTTTTGGCGGAAGATAGCTAGAAAGGATGCATGTTCCAGATGATGATTGGACAGACTATTATATTTGCAGTTTTCTATTGTATACTATCTGACGGAATCATCAATCATAGAGGAAGAACGCTAAGTATGATTTGGTGATCTCCATCCCAGTAAGCCTCAAATGATCCAATTACCTGGGGCGCCCTCTAAGTGTGTGTAGCTTCATTTGCAAAGTTTGAACAGCCTCTGCAAGTGGTGAATTGGAATTGTATACAGTGCTTTCGTAAGCCTAGAGTTTACCAGCTGAGTTCCATGTATTCCACGAGTGAGCAATGCGCTGCAGTGCTTTCGTAAGGGATGCTTCAGAAGTTCAGATGAGAATTCGAGCACCTTCAGTCTTGAAGCGACTCTCAAAAAGTACCAGTCCATTTCGTAAGGGATTGCTTACGTAGCATGTCACCTCGATCCAATTTTCCCACCGAGCCCTGCAGTTCCTGGCAACGGATAACATGAGTCATGGGGGCAGGCAGTCAAGTTAGAGTGTACTTGCACGTGTCCCATGTAATAATAATACTGTGGAGTGTGGGTGTGCCCAAGCGTCTTGTGAACTGGGGAAGTAGGCCCAAGTTGACTTGCATCTTCTACTACTGTCGCGCGAGTGAGCGCGACTGCCCAGCGCACGGAAGAGCCGCCTGTCCCTCCTGTCCTGCCATGCTTCCACGACGTCGTGGTCTTCCATTGCTATTCGATTAAGTCTCTTCAAGCTGTCTCCATTATAAAACCTAAACCCAAAATATATTTTCAATACAATATTTATATTCTCCAATATATTACCTATACGAAAAAACCCATTTTAAGTGTCAGGAAAGACATAATCTAAATCTGAGTATCATCTCTCCTGGAGACCTATTTATAGAAATAGTTATCTTTTAGGTCTTATTGTTGGAGAAGACTATACGAAAAAACCCATTTTAAGTGTCAGGAAAGACATAATCTAAATCTGAGTATCATCTCTCCTGGAGACCTATTTATAGAAATAGTTATCTTTTAGATCTTATTGTTGGAGAAGACAAAAATAGGTATTAAATCATTTACCTATAGCGCTACCCAAGACGAATGAGTCTTGTATTTTGGATCACGATTGTTGGAGACAGTCTTACTGAGATAATATACAAGAGCATGTAAATATTGCATACGATAAAGTCACCGACAAATATGTGGATAGTGTACCAAAAAAAAAATTGTGGATAGCCAACTATCAACTATTCAAGTTACAGATAGAGTAAGATATAACATCTTCAGCAGACTTAATGAGAAAATTAAGAAGAACAATAAGGTCATCATATTGGCTTCATCTTTGTGTGTGTGTGGTGGTGGGGGACCGGCCGTCCTAGGCCCTGCAATACGCGATACGCCAGATCCCTGACTCCCCGTAATAATGTACAGATGCACGGTCCGTGCGACGCGACCTTTCGAGTTCTGCCTTCCTTCCTGTGCGTGCGGCTTTTGCGTGGTGGGCCTGGCGGCGTTCCAATCCATGGGCCTGTTCCAGTCCAGCAGAGGAGAGTAGGCGGCAAATCGCAGGGACCCCTAATCTCAATCTCACCTCTCACGTGATCTGTGATCCCTCAACCCTCATCCCTGTTCCGCTGTTCGTGGGCAGTTCCAGCACGCAGCAGAGCAGGCAGGCGCCAGCGGCAGCAGCAACCAGGAATCTAAAATTTAGTTACTAATTATTTCTCTCATGATCCCTACTTTATAAAATTATTGTTACTAATTGTTTCTCTAAATTTTAACAGTAACATGTCATCAAGAAAGTATGCTTCTAGCAACGATAAAAGGAAGAAGAAAAAGCGAATAGATGATTTGATACAATCACAATCACAATCACAGAGAGGGGCTCTTGATAATTTTCTTAAGATTAATATTAGCACTTCAAGAGATCCAGATGCATTGGTGATAGTTGATATGGAGGAACCAGCTAATGCTAATCCAGAAGATCAAGACCATATGGAAGACAATGTTGACATCAACATGGATGAACATAATGTGAGTGATCATGAGCACATATTTAATTCAAATGAAACATAACCTACTATTGTTGATGAGGATCCAGTTTCAATCGATATTTATGATCCAAGAAATTAGGATAAACTTGATAACAAAACAAGGGATACATTGTTGAGAAGGGGCCTATAAGAGAAGAGAATATTGAATTCCCTTGGGATGCCCATGATAGACATTTTTCCAATGCCTATTACTCTAGAAAAATAAGCAATGGAGAGGTAGATAGAAAATGGTTAGTTTATTCCAAACACTTGGACATAGCATTTTGCTTATGTCGTAAGCTTTTTAATTCTAACAAATGCAAGAGTTCATTAGAGAATGATGAGTTTAGAGATTGGAGGCATATCAATGAGAGGTTGAGGGAGCATGGCCTTAGTGTTGAGCACATTACCAATATGACCTCATAGAATCAGTTGAGAATTAGGCTGAGCAAAAGATGGAAATTTTTGCTTGATTATGTGGATGGTCTAATTGTGAAATCATTATGCAACACACGTTGGGAGAGTCAGGATTAAAAGTGTTACAACAATTAGATATCAAGCTCCTTAGCTAAGGGCTGCTTTACTTGCATTAAGTGAAGATCAACCCAAGGATAGTAGTGATGCAAAGAATTTATTTAATATGCTTGGCAGCTTTGAATTTATTTTTGGCATGGTTATTTGGCATGACAATCTATTTGCTGTCAATAAAGTGAGGAAAACATTGCAATCACAATCTATGCATTGATTCTGCCATACGACAGACAGAAGGCATAATGGATTACTCAGAGACCTATAGGAATGATAGGTTTGTTTCTAGTATGGTCAGTGCTAAAGAAATTACATCTAAAATGGGTGTTGAGCCATCATTTCCTTTAAAGCGTCGTGCTCTTAGAAAAAAACATTTTGATGAAAATAATAGTGAGGAAGTCATCTTGCAAGCTGAGAATGATTTTAAAGTTAGTTACTTTTTGGTTATGTTTGATATGGCAAAAAGATCAGTGAAAAGTTGATTTGAACAACTCTAGTCATTTAATGAGATATTTGGGTTTTTAATGAGTTCAACAATCTTGAAGTCCTTGATAGTCCTGAACTAAATTTGTGTTGCACAACATTGGCGGTAGCTTCCTCTCATAATGGCTCATTTGACATTGATTTAAATGATCTAGTTTCTGAGCTAAGGGTTCTGCAATCCGCTTTGCTAGATAGAGAAATGACAGCTATGGAGATTTTTGAGTTTGTCACAGGAGGTGATTGTTATCCTAGTACTTCCATTGCTTATCGCATCTTGTTTACTATACCAGTGATTGTGGTATCAGCTGAAAGAAGCTTCTTAAAATTAAAATTGTTGAAAACTATTTGAGATCTACGATGGCACAAGAGGGGTTAAATGGATTGGCAATATTGTGCATTGAGAAGCCATTGTTGGATGAGATTGATATGGACACCATCATCGATGACTTCGCATCAAGGAATGTTAGAAGAAATTTTTGAACCAATTTAATATGTATACAAATTATTTCATATGAATATTACTTTTACATTCAGTTAACTGCTTATTAGTAATATTTTGTATGTGTGTGTATATACAACGAGGTAGTACTAGTAGTATTATCATGTTCATATAAAAGGCCCAAAATTTCTTGTGTTTTATAACAAAGGAAAGGGAAAACATAAGACGGTGCTCTTCCAAGCCTATAAAAGAGATAAAAAAAGCTAATAAAAACAAATACACAGCTTTGAGAAGTCAGGTCAAGACGCGGGTCTTGGAAACATAATTTTTTACTGAGATACTCACTCCGTCCTCAAATATGGCGCATTCGAGCATTAAAAATTATATCAAAATATAAGGGATTCTATGGATAGAAAATAGTTTTGCATTAAGTACTTGTCATTTATCAACCAATCATCATTGATCATGTTGAAGATAGCATCTGATTAAAAAATAAAACGAGTGCACATGAGTTTTTTTGTGTTCTCTTAATTGGATTAAGTTTACTTTTGGTCCCTCAACTATTATGTTGGTCTAATTTTGACCCCCAACTACAAAACTGCCTGGTCTAGGCACTGGAACTTTCAAAACCGTCCAGTTTTAGCACCTCGGCGCGATTGAGGCGGTTTGCGCTGAGGTGTGCCTGGTTTTGACCTGCCACGCTGGCATTGACCGTCACTACGGTCGCGCGGGTCAAAACAGGAGCCGGCCCTCTCATCTCTCTCTCTCCCTCTCAGTTCCTCTCAGCACTTCCCCGAGGCCAGGTGAGGGAGCTTGTAGGCGGTGGCGATAGATGCATCAGGCACCACGGCGGCGGCCATGGCAGAGGCGCATAGCGATGGAGGCACGAGTGCCACGCCGTGGCAGCACAAGGTCGAGCTCAGCACGAGAACCGGCCAAGTTGTAAAGGGTCACCTTCCCATGGTGTATCCCACCCGCAGCAAGTCCGAGGTGGGTGGAGCAGAGCTGGCCGTGGCGGCATGCCCAGTGGCGATGGAAACCGGCGGCAAGGGCCCCGTTCCCGGCGTGACAGCGAAGCTCCCTAGAACCTATGCGAGGCCAAGATGGAGGGCATCGGGGTGGACCTAGAACGGGCGAAGTGGTGTTGACTTAGTGGGGCAGAGAGCGGGGCCACGCGCGGAGCTCGAGCCACGGCAATGGTGGCCGGCAGCGCAAAATCCGCCAAATTGAGCGATTACCTTGGTTGGTCTTGCGAGCAGCTGGCACCGGGGCGTTACTAGGGAGGTGAGGGAGCCATGGCTATGAGGAATCGAAGAAGGATGCAGTTAGGCCGATGAATTTTTGGATGGGGTGGCTGTTGCGATAGCAGCTGCGATGGCGTCGTGCGACCGGTTGGCGTTGCCGCTGCGAGCGTGCG